ACCTCAAACTCTTCCCATTCGCTGAGAAGACTTTGGTCGGCGAGAGAGGCGTGTCGTTGAGTGGCGGACAGAAGGCCAGAATCACGTTAGCCCGGTATGTGTGGGCGCGGGTGGGGCTCAGTGGGGGTCAGTGGCCGGTGTGGGGCCGCCATCACTGCTATGTCTCGACCATAACTCAGTTGTTTGTCCCTTCAGTGCCCTCTATAATGACGCCGACGTCTACCTATTGGACGACCCGTTGAGTGCAGTCGACAGCGAAGTCGCGAATCATATCTTTGAAAAGTAAATCACAAATAATTGTAAATTCAATGAATAAATTGAATGAATTTTTCAATTGAAATACAGATGTATTTCAGGATATTTACGGCAAAAGACAGTGATTTTAGTGACACATCAAATACAGTTCATACGGAAGGCGTCGAAAATACTGGTCATGAAAGAGGGCCAACCCGTGGCCGTCGGCTCTTACCGTCAACTCATGGATTCGGGCATTGATTTCATGTCTTTAATCAAAGAGGAGAAGAGTGTTGAACACAATGTGGTTAACGAAGAAGTGATGGTTAAGAGTCCGATCGCAGAACAGTTCAGGACTCGTACCATAAGTGTTATGTCCGCCCACTCGGAGGTAAACTAAGATAATTGGGTTTTTAGACACTTATAGCATATATTGTCGCTTACAATAGATGGCCGAAGAGTTCACTGACCAAAAGGTTGACGAAGAAACCAAAGCCATGGGTGGTATCAATGCTCGCGTGTATTGGGATTACATCAAAGCCGGTGCGGGTCCTGTGCTCTTGACCTTCAGTCTCGCCTCAACGCTCGTATCGCAAGGACTCCAGCACTACAGCGATGTCTGGCTTTCGGAATGGTATTCAACATTAATTCAATTAAATTGCAAAATGATTATCACTTCTCTCTCTCTCTCTCTCTCTCTCTCTCTCTCTCTCTCACCCGCACTGACACTGACTTCAGGGCCAATAGAGAGGACGCCGTGAAGAACAAGACGGCCAGCGGTAATGGCGATCGGGATGAGAGCCATAACGTGATGGTATACTCGATACTAATCGCTACCATATTTGTGACACTACTGGTCCGGTCGGGCACTTGGTTTGTGATGTGTATCCGCGCGTCAGTCAATCTCCATAACAGCATATTCTTCCGACTCATGCGAACGCCTATAGCCTTCTTCGACAACAATCCCGTCGGTAATAACGCCATCGCATATAGTGGTCACCATTTGATCCAAAGGGTGATTATATCTGATATCTGTGTCTCTCATTTCAGGCCGAATACTGAATCGATTCACTAAAGACATCGGTGTTGTCGACGAACAGTTGCCCGCAGTTTCCTATGATCTCAATCTAGTAATGCAAACAATGTCTTCAGTAAACCACAAATTCGTGTCAATAAGACTTACCATTTGTTTTGTGGGAACAGATCTTCACTCAGATAATTGGATCGGTAGTAGTGGTGGCGTTAGTCAACCCGTATCTCATAATACCCGCCATTTTCTTATTGGCCTTAATTTGGATCATTCGATGGG